AACAAAAAACCAAAAAAAAAAAAAAAAAAAGAAAAGAAAGAAGATGCAAAAGCAATAAAAAATAAATAAATAAAATAAAATAAAAAGTGAGGACTTCTCCCAAAAGGTAAGAAGTGGGAAATGATTAGACGGAGGTTGTCTTAATTTGTAGCCTAGTTGATTTGAGTTTGTAAGTCCGTAGGGGTGTTTGAACACCTAATGCCCTAAAGCCGTCTGGATTGGGAGTCATTGACCTAACTCTTGACCTCATGAATCGCTAGAAAGCTTAATAGATCAACATATTGCACCATGCTTCTATCTTTGATCCTATTGAAAAAAAAAAAAAGAATAAGCGCTCCTAGAATAATAAAGCTTTAATAAAAGGTCCACTCTTTGTCTTGATGATCGGTACTAGATTTGTGTGCTAGTTTGAGGGTAAGGATGTGATTAATTCTTTAGTTGGCTTATGATGGACCAAGAGGGGGGTGAATTGGTTAATCTCTTCTTAACAAAATCAATGAAGTAATTCAGCAAGCAAACAATAAGTACTTAAAACAGGATTTACAAGGAAACCCTTTCAACTAGGGAAAACCTTGGTTCTTGGCCATGGCCAATGAAGATCACTACTAGCTGTATGTACCTTGTTACACAGCTGTCTCACCCTCTGCACATACCCAAGCACAAGAATGGACACTAGCTTTCACAACCAATACACACACTAGCTGATTTCAGTGCACACACACACTCCCCATGTCCTAAGCACCCTTGCTTGGACCAATAAAGCTCATATAGCTCACCACATACATCATTGCAAATGATAAACAAGATAATAAAACTTCTTCTTCAAGTGGAACAGTTTAAGCAATACAAAATACTAAGTTACTGCCTCAAGATCACTAAACTGCTGCAGCAAGTGATTGAAGGGTAAAATTGGAATTTCCTTCGAGATTAGTTCACGTGTAGCTTCCAAAGTCTTAATTTACTACAATACTCATGTTATCATCCTTAAGCAAGTCAGCACAGCATGAGTCTATATCAATGTTCAATCTCAGTTCAGAAATAAGCACAACTCAACTCAGTTTTAGAGGTTTTGCAAGGTCACAACCACAGTCTGTCAAAGTTTTGCCCCACAGCCAATTTCAACAGCTTTGATTCATCTAAATAGACTTGCTAGCACATAGATAGTTCATAGAATAGCTACCCTTAATCATTTTGCACTTAAATCACAGTCTATGCAGAAAAACAAGCTTATCAACTGATTTAAGAGCTCAAAGACTATTTCAGCATGTTTCAGTTCAAAGCAAACTATTGACCAAGTGTAAATAGCATAGTTATACCTGTGACAACACTCAGAAATGACCACAGCAGCTTAAAACTCAGATTCACTACTCAATCTAGCCCTTTCTGCAGCAATTTGGACAGCAGCAGCATCTCAGCACATTGATCACACACAAGGCTTGAGTCAGTGGGTTTTTCTAGCATAAATCATCATTTTAAATCATAGAAAAACTTTTTTAATAATGGGAGCTCGAGAGATCTTTTCTGCAGCTAGCTCTAAGTGTCACTGAATGGCCATAAACCTTAAAAATCACTTATAGCAGCATATATATACCCAAGTGACAATGCTTGACTGCACCTCCATTAATTCAATGTTGTCACCTTTTAGCCAATGATTGCATAGGAACAATTCTGACATTCCCTAAGTGAAAAGACAATGTTGCCCTTGAAAACTCACCAAATAGAGACACCTTGTGCATCAGTAGGAACGGTTCATACAGATGAGAACATATTGATATTCTTCTTTGCTTAACCACTAAGATCTGCAACACCATTGGAGGACAAAATATACCTGGACCATAGCCACGTGTCACACTGCTGAGAGTACTTAAAAAGTTACAAAAACAAGCCTTATACCAGATGTAAATTACATTCAGCATAATCTGTTGCTGAGGCTGCATAAGACACAATGCAGGCTTACCACAGCAGTTCAGTGCAATGCAGCTATCCAGCCATACAAGAAATCATAGAATACATCAGAGAAAGTACTAAAATACCCCTAAAAGCACCTGTGACAAATTCCTTATATGCTGATCCTGACTAAAACCATTCAATTTAGCTGAACCAAGTGTACAAGCTGTGATGAATTAATTCATGCCTATGTAAAAGGACTGTCACTACACTATAAATAGCAATGCTGCCCAAGTGACATATGTTAAACCATAATGCAGATAGTATAAGCACTTAAGCTCACTGGACCAAAGCTTTTTGACATTAATCAGGCAAATAGGACTTATAGAACCTTAGGACCAACAATCTCCCCCTTTTGCCTTTAATGACTAAAGCTTTGATATGAAATAAGGCCTCAAGTATTGTGATACAAATAAGAGAAGAGAAAGAAAACAACCCAACACTTATCAAATGATAAGAATAGCATGTGACACTATTTCGGTCATTTTCTCCCCCTTTTGACATTGAAGGTCAAAAGTGAGCAGGACTAACAATTGCAAAGTCAAAGAGATGGGGGAACAACCCTTAAAAGATCTTAAAGGGTTAAAAATCTATGAGGAAGAAGAGGTTTAGTCATGATATCTGTAATTTGATTTGCTGTTGGAAGATAAGTAATGTCAATCAGCCCTTTTTGAACCTTGTCTTTGAGAAAATGATACCTGATATCTATATGCTTGCTTTTCCAATGTAAAGTGGGATTTTTACTGATTGCAATAGCACTTTGATTGTCACAAAAGAGCTTGAGAGGCATGGAGAATTGAAGGCCAAGATCTGTCAGAGTAGATTGCATCCAAAATAATTGGGAGGTAACTTGAGAGACAGCAATATACTCAGCTTCTGAAGTAGAGAGAGAGACTGTGTCTTGTTTTTTACTAAGCCAAGATACTATATTAGAGCCAAGAATGTAACAGCAACCAGAAGTGCTCTTTCTGTCTGGTAAGGATCCACCCCAATCAGCATCTGAAAATGCAGCTATAGTCATTTTTGGAGAAACAATGTAATAGAGACCATAAGAGATTGTGCCCTTAACATATCTTAGAATGCGTTTGGCAGCCTGGAGATGAGACATTTTGGGATTACTTTGAAATCTGGCTACCAATCCTACTGAGTACATGAAGTCAGGTCTGGAACTATGAGATAGAGGAGGCTGCCAATGATAGACCTATAAAGTGTGGATGGAATTGTTTCTGAGGTACAATTAAGTGATAGTTTAGTATTTGGACACAATGGTGTTGAAACTAGCTTGCTATCAGTCATGTTGAACTTCTTGAGTAATTCTGAGGCATACTTCTATTGTGAAATAAAAATTCCTTTGGATGTTTGAGCAATTTGAAGTCCCAAGAAATACCTAAGGGTTCCCAATAGTGACATTTCAAACCTTGTTTTCATAAGATTGGCAAACTTTGGTGCTAATGAAGTGTTTGAACCACAAAACATGATGTCATCTACATAGATTTGAAGAATTAGAAACTAGTCTTGATGAATCCTGACATATAGGGTGCTTTCAACTTTGCCTCGATGAAAACCTTGTTCAATTAAAAACTGATGGAATTTTTCATACCAGGCCCTGGGAGCTTGCTTAAGACCATACAAGGCTTTGCTTAGTTTGAATACATGAGAGGGATATTCAAAATCTTCAAAACCTTCAGGCTCCTCTAGATAAACTTCCTCACTTAGGTCTCCATTTAGAAAAGCAGATTTGACATCCATTTGGTACACCTTGACCTATTTGTGACATGCAAAGGACAGCAGCATTCTTATAGACTCCATTCTAGCAATAGGAGCAAAAGTTTCATCATAGTCAATTCCAGCTTGTTGTGAATAGCCTTTACACATCAACCTTGCTTTATTCTAATCACAGCTCCTTTTTCATTCATCTTATTTATGTAAATCCATTTAGAGCCAATAACATTTTTGCTTGCAGGTCTAGGTACCAGTGTCCAGGTATTATTTTTGTTAATTTGATCCAGCTCTTCTTGCATGGCTACAACCCAATCCTCAATCTTTTTAGCCTCATAGTAGGATTTAGGTTCAATAGATGACAACATTGCAAAGTGGCAGTATTCTTTGTTATCTTTAGCTTCCAACTCAGTTAGCTTCTTCTTATTCCTTGTTTGAACTCTAGCTTGAGATGAACCAATAATGTTTTCAGCTTGAACCTGCTTCTGCAGCACTAGGTAAGTAGTTTCTTTTGAATTCTCAGGTTTAGTCACTAGAGAGCTGACTTCATTTGAACCAACTGGATTATTGTTGTCTTCAAGCAGAATCACTTGAGGATTTTCATCAAATTTTACATGGATTGACCCAACCACCTTCGAGGATCTAAGATTGTAGCATCTATAGGCCTTGCTCTTTGTAGAATACCCCAGAAAAATTCCTTCATCAGATTTTAAATCAAACTTCCCCAAACTGTCAATGTAATTAAGTATATAACACTTGCTGCCAAATATTTTGAAATAGTGTACTGTTGCAGGTCTTCCATACCATAATTCAAAGGGTGTCCAGGTTGAATTTGGTCTAAGAAGAACTCTATTGATGATGTACACAGCAGTACTAATAGCTTCAGCCCAAAATCCTTTAGCCAAACCTTTTTCAAGCAATATTATTCTTCCCATCTCTTGAACTGTTCTGTTCTTTCTCTCCACAACTCCATTCTGTTGAGGTGTAGCAACAACTGAGAATTCCTTTTTGATTCCCTTGTCATCACAGTAGTGCTCAAATTCTTTCATGGTGAACTCAGAACCAAAATCAGACCTGAGTTTCTTCACAGTGCAGCTCCTTTCATTTTCAATAAGGTTAACAAACTTAATAAAGTGTGTAATAGCCTCAGACTTTTCTTTTAGAAAGTAAACCCACACCATTCTGTTGAAGTCATCAATGAGTAGTATAAAATACTTACTACCACCAATACTTGTGGTTCTGGTAAGTCCACAAAGATCCATGTGTATCAGGTCAAGTGCCTTAGAGGAGTTGATTTCCTTGGAATGGAATGAAACTTTAGTTTATTTTCCTTGTTAACATGCTTTACAAAGATGATCATCCTTAAAACAAATGTCAGGCAGACCTTTAACAACTTTCAGCTTCAATATCTTGGACATGTTCCTTAAATGAAGATGACCTAACCTCTTGTGCCACAACTTAGCTTCATCACAGGCTGTTAAGTTACATTGGGTGACCTGACTTTCTTTAGTGACTGTGTAGACATTTCCTAAGGATCTACTTGCTGAGAACATAACTTGTTTTGATTCTAGATCAATCACATTACATCTTTCTTTGTTAAAGCAGACTTCCTTCCCACTATCACATAATTGACTTACACTTAAGAGATTATGCTTGAGCCCTTCAACCAATAGAACTTCTTGAATCTCTGGCAACTCTTCAAACTTACTCACAGTGCCAATTCCAACAATCTTAGCTCTTTGATTGTCCCCAAATATAACATTTCCACCATCAAACTGCTGTAAGGAGTTAAATTTTGAGCCATCACCTGTCATGTGTCTCGAACAGCCACTGTCAACATACCATTTGTCCTGAGTATTACAGGCTTTAAAAGCTGTATACACAAGAAGACTTATAGAGTTCAGCTTCTTGGGGATCCACATCATCTTAGATTTCACTACTGACCCTTTGTCTTTAACTTTCACTCCTTGAGTTAGGTCTGACTCTTCATATACATCGTAGTGATCTTGAAGTTCCTTGCAACTGATGTAACAAAGTCTCTCTGATTGAAACTCAAAGGATATTGAATGTTGTTAAAAATATCAAACCTTAATCTCAGAGGTTTCATAATGGGATATCTTGCATATACTTCTCCAGTGGTGGCCTTCACAAATGTTAAGTGTTTCTGACTAATCTTAGCAGCTGAATCACATACATATCCAATTCTAGTCTTCCCAATTTTCTTAGTAGATTGTTTCTAAATTTCAGCCATTTTCAAAGATCTCTCCTCAAGTATGGTAGACAGTTCTTCCTTGCATCTTTTAGTAGACCACTGACAGTTACTTTAAATCTTGAGTATGCTTAGAAAAATAAGGGAAATTGAACACATAGCTGACAATTTGAGTTTTAAGTGTTTGGTGAGAATTTGTCTAGACCTTAATAGTTCTGAATTTAGCTTCCTGATTTGAGATTTTTGTTGATTACACTTCACAGCAAGTCTTTCACATTCTTCCAGAATTTCCTCAATCTCTGTGTCAGTATCTTCTTCAGTTTCAACAGACTCTTTTGATGGTTCTAGAATGGCCATGAATAAACATTCATCTTCTTGATCTTCTTTAAGTTTCTCTTCTTCTTCAATGGCTGTTTGCCAGTCTGAAAGTAAGGCTTTTCTTCCAAACTTTCCTTTATTGTTAAGTCCTTCAAACTTTCTCTGAGTTTGCCCTTTAGAGTTAGGACACTTAGATACAATATGACCAGGCTTGCCACACCCATAGCAAGTTAGATTCTGCAATTGAGATTTCCTTTTAAACCTGAATTTTCTGAATTTCTTAGCAAGGTAAGCTACTTCATCCTCTTCAAGATCATCTTTTGACTTAGACTCATCTTCTTCAACATTCTCCTTGGCTTTGAGTGCTGTTTCTCTTCTATGCAGAGTAGGAGGACCAACTCTCATCTCATAAGCTGTAAGAGATGCTTGAAGTTCATCAATCTTCATATTAGATAAATCTTTGTCTTCTAGAATAGTGACCTTGGCATTGAATCTGGAAGTGAGAGATCTAAGAATTTTCTTACACACATCAGAATCTTTAATATCTTCACCAGGAGCTCCCATATTGTTTACAAGATCATTGATTTTGAACATATATTCTGCAATGGTTTCTCTTTCTTCCATTTTACAAACTTTATATTAAACCTTGAACAGCTAAATTTTATTTTCCTTTATGACCTTGTTTCCCTTATGAGCTGCCTGAAGTGAATCCCACATTTCTTTGGCTGTCTTACAATTCTTCACTCTGGTAAATTCTTATTGCTTCAAGGCACAGAAAAGAACATGTTTGGCTTTCCCATCATTAGCTACAGCTATCTTATCTTCAGCAGATGGATTTTTAGGATTGAGAATCACAACACCATTTATGGTAGCATGCCAAACATCATAGGACTGAGACATCAAAAAGGCTTCCATTCTAGTTTTCCAAGAATCATAGTTTGAGCCTTCAAAACCAGAAGCTTTGTTAATAACTTGACCTTCATCCATAGCTAGGACCAACTGCAGGCTTGTTAGAACCTTTCAATGCAAACCCAAGCTCTGATACCAATTAATGGACCAAGAGGGGGGGTGAATTGGTTAATCTTTTCTTAACAGAATCAATGAAGTAATTCAGCAAGCAAGCAATAAGTACTTAAAATAGGATTTACAAGGAAACCCTTTCAATTAGGGAAAACCTTGGTTATTGGCCATGGCCAATGAAGATCACTACTAGCTGTATGTACTTTATTACACACTCAGCTGTCTCACCCTCTGCACACACCTAAACACAAGAATGGACACTAGCTTTCACAACCTATATACACACTAGCTGATTTCAGTGCACACACACACTCCCCCTGTCCTAAGCACCCTTGCTTAGACCAACAAAGCTCATATAGCTCACCACATATATCATTATAAATGATAAACAAGATAATAAAACTTCTTCTTCAAGTGGAACAGTTTAAGCAATACAAAATACCAAGTTACTGCCTTAAGATCACTAAACTGCTGCAGCAAGTGATTGAAGGGTAAAATTAGAATTTCCTTCGAGATTAGTTCACCTGTAGCTTCCACAGTCTTAATTTACTGCAATACTCATGTTATCATCCTTAAGCAAGTCAGCACAGCATGAGTCTATATCAATGTTCAATCTCAATTCAGAAATAAGCACAGCTCAACTCAGTTTTAGAGGTTTTGCAAGGTCACAACCACAGTCTATCAAAGTTTTGCCCCATAACCAATTTCAACAGCTTTGATTCATCCAAATAGACTTGCTAGCACATAGATAGTTCATAGAATAGCTAGCCTTAATCATTTTGCACTTAAATCACAGTCTATGCAGAAAAACAGGCTTACCAACTGATCTAAGAGCTCAAAAACTATTTCAGCATGTTTCAGTCCAAAGCAAACTATTGAGCAAGTGTAAATAGCATAGTTATACCTGTGACGACACTCAGAAATGACCACAGCAGATTGGAACTCAGATTCACTACCCAATCTAGCCCTTTCTGCAGTAATTTGGACAACAGCAACATCTCAGCACATTGATCACACACAAGGCTTGAGTCGGTGGGTTTTTCTAGCATAAATCATCATTTTAAATCACAGAAAAACTTTTTTAATAATGGGAGCTCGAGAGATCTTTTCTGCAGCTAGCTCTAAGTCTCACTGAATGGCCATAAACCCTAAAAATCACTTATAGCAGCATATATATACCCAAGTGACAATGTTTGACTGCACCTCCATTAATTCAATGCTTTCACCTTTCAGCCAATGATTGCATAGGAACAATTCTGACATTCCCTAAGTGAAAAGACAATGTTGCCCTTGAAAAATCACCAAATAGAGACACCTTGTGCATCAGTAGGAACAGTTCATACAGATGAGAACATATTGATATTCTTTTTTGCTTAACCACTAAGATCTGCAATACCGTTGGAGGACAGAATATGCCTGGACCACAGCCACGTGTCATACTACTGAGAGTACTTAAAGTTGTAAAAACAACCCTTATACCAGCTGTAAATTACATTCAGCATAATCTGTTGCTGAGGCTGCATAAGACACAATGCAGGCTTACCATAGCAGTTCAGTGTAATGCAGCTATCCAGCCATACGAGAAACCATAGAATACATCAGAGAAAGTACTAAAATACCCCTGAAAACACCTATGACAAATTCCTTATATGCTTATCCTGACTGAAACCATTCAATTTAGCTGAACCAAGTGTACAAGCTATGATGAATTAATTCATGCCAATGTAAAAGGACTGTCACTACACTATAAAAGCAATGCTACCCAAGTGACATACGTTAAACCACAATGCAAATAGTATAAGCACTTAAGCTCACTAGACCAAAGCTTTTTGACATTAATCAGGCAAATAGGACTTATAGAACCTTAGGACCAACAATCTTGCTAAAGACGTTAAACTTAGCGCCCACATGACACATTGTGTCTTTTATCTCTTATATCATACATTTTCATTTTTATTTCTTTATCTTTCTTGCATTTTGTTTCATTTTACATACTTTCATAAAAAGAAAAATATAAAAACTTTTCACTATTGTGCCCTTTTGTGTAGTCATGCACACTTTCATGCTTTAGCTAGGGCTTAATCTCATATTTCTCTTTCATCTTGTATTATATTGCCTTAGAATGCATGATTTGATTATTCTTATCCCATTTGATATTTGATGTGAGTTTGCTAGTGTGGTTATTCAAATAGGTTATTGATTCCAAGTTTGGGGGAAACCCTTTTCATATTGGATCAGTGCCGGGCTTTATGTTTTCGCCACTACGGTATACTCTTTCCATCTTTTCCAATGTTCTCATTGCACATTGAGTACAATGTACGGTTTAAGTTTGGGGGTAAGGTGTCTTTGTTGTATTCTACTTAAAGATGAGTTTTAAATGCATGACTGAGATTTGAGATTGATGTTAGCTATGATTTTGATCTTTTGAGGACTATATTGCTTAAAATTTAAAATTTGCTTGACTTGAGAGTCCAATACTCCTTGTATGCTTTGTGGATGCCATTTAGGGGTAAATTTTTCGAAAGAATGATATCTTGCTTGCACTTGTGGTCCACATCATCTTGATTTTGTGATTATTTTGAGATTCACTCTAGCACAGGCCACACTAGCATTCATTTATGGGGTACATGCTTTGTTGATTATTGAATTGGTTATATCCCAATTGAGCTAGTAGTGCATTGAAAGCTTTCATTCTGATAAAGGTGGATAACAAACCCTTTTCATTGAGTAGCCGGGATTCTAGCCTTATCAAGCATTGAATTTCTCGCGCCGAAAAGTGAAGGGCCCAAACTCTAGGTTTATAATTGAACTTGAAAAAAAAAAAAAAAAAAAAAAGGTTGCAAAAGCAAATAAAAAAGTGAGGACTTCTCCCAAAAGGTGAGAAATGATAAATGATTAGATGGAGGTTGTCTTGATTTGTAACCTAGTTAATTTGAGCTTGTAAGTCCTTAGGGGTGTTTAAACACCTAGTGCCCTAAAGCCGTCCGGTTTGGGAGTCATTGACCTAACGCTCGACCTCATGGATCACTAAAAAGCTTAATAGATCAACACATTGCACTATGCTTCCATTTTTTATCCTTAGGGATAGGAAAAAAAAAATCGAGTGAAAAGAATAAGCGCACCTAGATCAATAAAGTTTTAATAAAAGATCCACTCTTTGTCTTGACGATCAGTATTAGATTTGTGTGCTAGTTTAAGGGTAAGGATGTAATCATTTCTTTAGTTGGCTTAGATAGCAACATATTTGATGCCGGTTCACTCAAAAAGAATTCTAGAGTTGTTTTGATTTGCATGAGCATTGTCTTGATGTGTGGAGGATCATACTTGCTTGCTTGGTGTTGAGATTTTGGGAGATTTCTTGGAAAAGGTTAAAAAATTACATACTTGAGGTAGTTTTCTCCCAATGCTTGTTTTGCAATATTGGTGCCTTATTTGTGAGAATGAGCTTAATGTTTCTGGGTATCATTTCTGGAAACCCTCACGAGACTTCACTCGTCCACTAGGGGTAACCTAGGGGTTTAAAAGGCTTATTGCATGTGCTAAATGCAATCGTGTTCCCTACGAAAGTGGCGTTATCCATTTATTATTTTCTAGTTTGTAGTTGTATAGTTGTTCATTTCATTCCTTTACTTTGTAGTTCATTGCTAGGGATTAGTAATATTTAAGTTTGAAGGTGTGATGAGCACTGAAAAGTGCATATTTAAACCCCTTAAGCTCGAGTATTCTAGGACCTTATTATATCTTATTTTTTCGTTTTAGTCTAATTTCATTTTTTTGTCCATTTCAGATCAATAATGTTAAAACGGGCTAAAAATGGTTTCTTAAGGCCTTTTTGGAGTCAAACTAAGTCTTGGTGAGAATCTGGAGCAAAAAGGAGGCTGATCTGGAGCAAAAAGGAGGCTGATGCTGAAAACTACCAAGTGAGATCTATCACAGAAAAGTGAGATCGATCACAAAAAAGTGAGATTGATCGAACTGTTCGCGAAAGTTATTAAAAAGCAGATCTAAAGCTCATTTTGACCCAACTCGGGCTGTGATTGAAAGAGGAGATTCTAGAGCCGAGTTCTCACATTCTTGGGCTCTAAAACCCTTGTATATAAGAGGGATTCAACCATTTTTGTAGAGAGACCCATATTTTTACATTATAATTTGTATATTTTCATTAGTTTCTCTCTCTAGAAAGTTAGAGATTAGGATTAGAAGGAAAGAAGGAAGTGGAGGCACATCTCAAGAACACATCTCTTGATCCACATACTCTTTCTCTCTCTAGAGCTTCAAAGAAGAAGAAGAAGAAGAAGATGGAGCCATGTTTGGAGCTTTCCCTTGAGGGTTTCATAACCATATCCACCTCCTCCAATGTTGGCTAAATCTACACTTAGGGCTTGGATGAGCCCTAAGTCTTGTGTAATCTAAACCCTTGTATTTCTATTTTTGGGGATTTATATATATATTGTTGTGATTAGTGCTTAGCCTTGTGATTGTTGATTTAATTCTTCCTTATGATTCTCCATTTTAATTACATGTTGTCTTATGTGTAATTATTTGGGAATTGATCTCTACACTAGATTCTCTATGTTGGTTGCATGTCTATGTGTGATTAATTA